ACGCTGGAGCCAGGGACTTCACACAAGGCATTCTACCTTACCAGGGTTGGCTTGGATCAGAACCACTCATGGAAGGACTACATCCCTGAGAAGGCTGTCAGGAAATGTCCAGGGTGGGGATGCTGGCAGAGCAGAGACCAGGGGCTGGATTTGAGCGCTACAATATCTCCTCACACACAGCCCCATTCCAGTTCTTCCTGTCGCATGCTGGGGACTGGGCCATGCAGTCTTTATTTTCTAGGCTACGTATTGTCAGGGGGGCACAGATCAATTATTGCATAAAGTGAACGAAACCCAACTGTGTGGAAAGAACAATGCAATAGCTACCCTCTCAAAGAGTCTCTGTTTACCCTGTCTTATGCTATTAGAATGACTGTGGTACAGTCACCCAAGCAGTGTGTGTAAGTCCCACTTCTATCTGTCAATGGGTGCCTACGGACTCATAGAATATCAGGGTTGGAAGGGACCTCAGGAGGTCATCTAGTCCAACCCCCTGCTCAAATCAGGACCAATCCCCAACTAAATCATCCCAGCCAGGGCTTCGTCAAGCCTGACCTTAAAAACCTCTAAGGAAGGAGATTCCACCACCTCCCTAGGTAACCCATTCCAGTGCTTCACCCACTGTTTGTTCAACACAAGAGCCCGATGAAGGACCAAAGGTATTGACTGGGAAGTTTTCCAGGTTGCTGTGCTTTAATTTCGTTATGCAGCCGTCTACAGGAACAACATCTCCAATGGAGGTGAGGGGAGAATGCACACTCTGAGCCGATGTCATTCCTCGGACGGAGCCCCTCTTCCAAACTGCTTCTGGCACTTGACATATTTATCCGTCACTTCTAGCTGTGTCGTTTTCAGGAGCGGGGTTGTTCATATGGTGCCTTTGAAAATCAATTAGTGCACAATATGACTTTGGATGATTTATTCTTTTTCAAAAAACCCCTTTGGGGGCATTCAGACCTTTATAGCCATATTAAGCAGAGTTTTAATCCAAATGAATTTTCCAGGAAACCGGGTAATCTAATTAAAAAGCTTAGAGTGCAGTTTAGTAGCTTCATTACCATTAGATTCTAGATCCATCATTACATGGACAAATATTTTCTGAGTGCAAGTGACTGATAAATCCAAAGGCCTAATCGCAAATGGACTTTGCCTGGAACTAAGCAAGTTACAGTACTTAGTCATGCACCCAAGAATGAAACGAAAGGACACATTGAAAAAGGTCCTTGCAGGAAAACAAACCATTGACTTCTTTTCTCCAGTTCATCCTCTCCCACAACAATCAGCCGTCCTGTAAACCCACTTGCAATTGCACTTCTCAGATGAGTGGCTTTGGAAACTCCCTCAGGTGTGTCCCATCCCTTCCATCTCCCAGGGTTGCAAGCCCAAGTAGGCCAAACTAACTCCCAAACTATCTCCAAAGGTTTGAGTACCTCCAAGCTTTGGGTACTTACCACCTTCCTCAGACTGAGAGGACGGATGGGCTTGTGGGTAAAGCACTGGACTAGGACACGAAGAAGAACTGGGTTCAGTGCCAGGCTCTGTCACAGATTCTCTTAGGCAAAACCCTTAAGGTATGTCTACACTGCAATCAGAGGTGTGACCACAGCACCTGTAGGCATCCACAAGCTAGCTCTGGTCTAGATCAGCAGTTCTCACACTTTCCTTTCTCCCACTCCTTGTCTCTGTAGATTGGAAGCTTTCCAGGGGCAGGGACTGTCTCTTGTTATGTATCTCTATAGCACCAGGCATGATGGGGCCCTGAACTCAGCCAGCACTGCAATACAACTCAGGGGATGTGCATGTGTGCACAAAGGTACGGTGGGGCCCGGAGTTTTATAAAGACGCCTAACTGGGATGAAAACTCCACTTAGGGTGGATAATATCTCACTACCCTTATTCCAACTCACATCCTGCGATCATTTCACAAAGCTTCAAAACCATCAGAAACCTAATGCTAAAAAGCCTCGGTATTATAAAGCTCATGGGCGGCGGGTGGACCCTCGCGTCCGGGAGGCTAGCCCCCTGGTCCTGCCCTTTCTGTATGAGGCCCTCCCCCCACACCCACCAGAGCCCAAAGGCCCCCCCTCGCCCCTGGAGCCCTCCTCCTGCCCCCTCGCACAGTTGGAGCCCCGACCCCCCCCACCACACACACACGCAGCCGGAGGAGCCTTGGTCCAGCCCAAGCCGCCCCAGACCAGCCCCAGCCACCCTGAGCTGGCCCAAGCTGCCTAATAGGAACCGTGCCGTGCCACGCCTCCCCTCCCGAGACGCCAAGTGGGAAAAGCATACGCTGTTCCTGAAGAACCTGAGCTTTTATATGCGCCATGCAGGTTCTGGGGCGGCTGAGGAGGCGGTATCTGCTACTCAGCATCCCGGGTTCCTCAGTCATCTCCCCTGGCCTATTAGACCTGCCGCCTCTGGTAAAGCTTTAAAAAACAAAAGCATCGTTCTCCCAGGAAGGAGACGCTAATGCCACCAGAACGTTTCGCTGATGGACAAAACTGAAGGAAGCGGCGTTTCTCAACCAATGTTGTGTTAATTGGATTCCTGCATACAGATAATACAGGTAACAGTTATATCACACCAGGGACCAGAAAGCTCTGCTGATAATTTAGGCGTATGGCACAGCGACTGTTATTTCATAGTACGTTCTTCCATGTTATTTCCATAGAAACTGTGCTGTCAACTTGTAATTTTCACACTAAGTGCATCCCACCATATTATTTCTGCAACACAAACATGACCGTATTTTAGCATGGAAATGCAGTTATTTAGTACTTGCGGAAAACGCTGTTCCCCGGTGAGATAAAAGGCCTACATTTAGTGAAACTCTGCTACCGAGCCAATATTATCTCAAACGGGGGTGCCTGCAGGAGCATTTGAGCATACCAGGGATCAAAAGGTACAGATTAAAATGTGGTTCTAGTCTGGGAACTGACGGTGTGAAAATATCTTTTATTGCACCAACTTCTGCTGGTGAAAGAGACAAGCTTTTGAGTTGCTCAGAGTTCTTCAGAGCTGCTGCTGCTTCCAATGGGTATGCAGAGTAATCTTTGCTTACTTCAGTGATAGCCTGTTTCTCCCATCGGCTCTGCAGAACCAACAGAGAGATGGGGGGAGCATTTTTCAGGCTCATCGGTGTGATTTCAAACAAAGGTCCTGATCCAAAGGAAGCACTTAAGCACATACTTGACTTTAAGACCACGCGTTGGAGGCTAAAGCACACGCTTCCGTGTTTTGTTGTATCACAGCCTACGTTCAAACTGCAGGCCCACCTTTGCAACTTTACCGCCTTTCAATGATTTCCTCAATTACACCCATGCCGCCTCCCCGAAGGCAACAAAACCGCATGAGTGTAGTTGAAGCCAGAATCTGAGAACAAGGGAGTTGCACAGAGGTCACCGAGGGCAGCAGTTGGCCTACAGCCTCGTGATTATGGTAATGACACGCAAGCCGAGAACCCAACTTGGCTCTCAGATCTTGACTGAGTTTGCAGGGCTGGTTAGTAAAAACATTTTTTTATTTGTGAACTGAGCAAACCCGGGGTAGGAATCACGGAGATGCAGCAAACATGGGAACCCCCTGATGCAAGTTCCATAAAGTCTTTTTTCAGAACATTTTTATAGTGTGATTTTAAAAAGAACACCCCACTTTTAAAGAGGGCCCTATTATGCTATGAGCTGTGCAGACACTTAAACTGAGACAGTCCCTACTCTGAAGAACTTGCCAGACAAAGAGTGGAAGCTGAAAAATACCATTATGCCTTTTTTACAGATAGGAAACTAAAGCTCAGGGAGACTGAGTGACTTCCCACAAGGAGTCAGCGGCAGAGATGGGAACGGAACCCAGGTTTCCTGGGTCTACGTCAGTGTTTAACTACAAGACCATCTTTCTGGTCTCCTTTAGCTATATAATTAGTTGCTCTATTTTAATAAAGGAAGAAGTGTGTGTTTCTTCCTGCTTCCCCACCATTGGAGCCCTGATTGTTACTAATAATGGCTCTCAGTTCAGCTTTCTCTTGTAAGGCAGGTCAGAGAGTCTTTCGTTACAAGTGTCCCCTTGTTCCAGGAGCACATGTGAAACTGACCAATCTCTTCTGCTCTATCCTCACTCTGAGCTAGCGCTTTCGCTCTCCAAAAGCAGTCAAGGAGCAGGAACGGAAGTGCCTTGGGATTGCTCATTTAACTATCGTCCAGTAGAACAGGGGACGTTTAAGCAGGGGCGGTTCTATGTTTTTTGCTGCCCCAAGCATGGCAGTCAGGCGGGCTTCGGCGGCATGCCTGTGGGCGGTCCGCGGTCAGGCGGATTCGGCGGCGTTTCTGCGGGTGGTCTGCCGATCCCGCGGCTTCAGCGTACTTACCGCTGAATTGCCGCCGAAACCACGGGACTGGCCGCCGGCGGACCTCCCGTAGGCACGCCGCCGAAGCCCTCCTGACTGCCGCCCTCACAGCGACCGACATGCCGCCCCCCGCGGCTTGCCGCCCCAGGCACACGCTTACTGCGCTGGTGCCTCGAGCCGCCCCTGCGTTTAAGACACAGAGACGCCAATGCATGGGATAGAATTTGTCAGCATCTCTCCCCAAAAGTAGCGTCACTGCAAAGGCTTGTCAGTCACTGTTACTTCAGGAGACTTCAACAACCCCAGTCAAAAATGAAGGGATTATGCTTTCGTAACAAATTAGCCTCAACTATCTTCTATTCAAAAGGTAATGCCTGGGTGAAATTCATCTGCTCTGCTGCCCTATCGATCCTGTATCTAAATAAATGTCTGCATGGACAGCACACTTCCAAAAATGATTATTTAGGGGTTGGTGAAGTTCCCGACACATAAGAATTCTGCTCCAATTTACACCAGTGTAATGTATTGAATTCAGCAGCGTTACTCCTGACTTACACCAGGGCAATATCAGACCCGGCTGTACGTTTCATGTCAGCACTGACCTTTTTGCCGTCCCTCCACCCAACTCAACGAGGCTGAAATCTGTTGCCAACTGATTTACCTGTTGTTATTCTTCAGTTTGATGTGATCAGTCGGTTCTAGGATCTGCCCGTTCTTCAGCCAGGTGATCTGAGGGGAAGGCTCTCCCTGGGCCAGGCAGGTGAAGATCGCAGTCGTCCCTACGGGTCTGGAAATTGACTGAGGGTGTTGCACGAACTCCGCAGGGGCTGTGAAGGGAAGGAAACCGAAGCATGAGGAACACTGCCAGGAGCCAACGTTGCCCTGGCACCAAGCCTGTTCTAATCACTTGGTGTAAAATAACCTGAGTCTATTTTGTGAGCGCGGCGAAGGCTGACAAAAGAAAGCCACCGCAGTTTATCAGCCCCAGAGGTAGCTTGGCAGGTTTGACAGGCGTGTGTGGTCTACAGATAACTATAGATCGTGCTTGCCCATCTGTAACCATGATTGTAACCAACTAAAGAATAGAGCTGGGCTGGTTAATCGGGGAGAGGGAATTTTCAGTAATTGGATGATGCCAGGTGGGCTAGTCATTTAAAAACACAATGTCCCCTTCCTGCTCTTTAAGGGACCTGGATGCTTGTTTGTTTACACAGAGGCGCGTTATTATATTAGGCTGCCCTGAACCACAAAGCCCTGCCTGCTTACCATGGCTTTACTGCAATGGTACCATGGCTCTGGGCCAGTGCTACGGTGGTACAAGGCCCATGTGATGAAGGCTCCTTAAAAATGAATCCTGCACATTAGTAAGGCCCTGCTGGAACTTTATTGATCTGAATGAATTCAAACACAGGGATGAAATACAAAAGCCAGAATACCCCCCCCCCCATATATTTTTTAATATCATGTGCTGGGGAGTGTTGGCTTCATTCCTTCTTTCTCCTTGTGACTGATTGTGTACGTCGTATGAAATGAGCTCTGGTGAAAGGTGCCCGATCAGCAGCTCTGCAGTCCCGTTTGAAAGTGTGAGCCCCAAACTATAGTGTGTATCATTCCAGTGCCACTTTCACATCCTTCCACGCCCTGGCCCACACACCGCCAGGAATGGCAAATGATACCATAGCTTTGCACTCTACGGTAAGTACCGTGGGTAGAGTGCTGGGCATGGAGTCAGGATTCCTGGGTTCTAGTCCCAGCACTGACTTCAAATGTGTCTTTGGGCAAGTTGTCTCTGAGACGCCATTTACCCACCTTCACAACAAATACCAGGCCACCGACCTCAGAGCGACGGCGCAAGGTCTACTTAACGTTAGCTGTAGCAGGGTGGACACCCGCTCCTGCCCTGAAGGGCTTAAAACAGCCCTGGGGGAAGGTTGTGGCTGGGAGCTGCTAAGCTGGGCTGATTGGGAAGTGGCTGCAGCTGGGCCACGCCCCAATCAGGCCGCAGCTGGCCCTATAAAGGCTGGGAGCCAGGAGCCAGGGCCCTGTCTTTCTCTGTGTTCAGAGAGAGAAGGGCCTGGCTGCAGGGAGCTTTACCAGACACCTAGATTGGGAGCAGGGCTGGGGGAGGAGCAGAGAGCTCCGGCCTAAGAAACCCCCAGGCTGCAGGCCTGGCAAGGTCTAGTAGGTGTAGGGTTGCAGGGGGCAACCCATGGGTAGGCAGAGGCAGCAGGTGTGAACCCCTTTGCCTGTGATGAGTGGCTGATACTGCAGACTGCCCCAGTGAACGGGGGCTACGTGGAGACTGGGCAGTAGCCAAGACTGAGGCGAAGTGGGGATAGTGGGTGGGGGGTTCCCCTGGGAGGGGGAGACCCAGAACTGTGGGGGTACTGCCAGGGGACAGCACCCCAGGTAAAAGGGCACCGGGGTCCTGGGAGGGACGTGGGGCCAGAGGACAGGTGGATCACTGGCCAGCCTCCGGAGCTGGAATGAGCTAATTCCCGGAAGTCACCAGCAGGAGGCTCCACAGGGGTGAGTCCGCTCCTCTACATTAGCAAAGAGCTTTCCGCTGCTCAAATGCAAAATATTATGACAATTCTCTCTCGAAACGGGAGCTCAAGCTCCTCAGCTATACAAATCCCTCCGGAAATTGGAGTATGCTGCAGAGTTTGCCACTATACGAGCAAATGGAGTTCAAATGAGCCACATTCATTTCCACCTGCCTGGCTGCGGAGCAGTCTGGAGTTTGTTAGCGATCAGCATTGCTTCACTCAAAGAGACAAACGGTTATGAGCGTTTCCGGCAATACCATTGCAAATATGATTATTTTGTGCTGCAGTAATGGGTAAGAGCGCCACTGTGCCAGGGGTTATACATTCATAGAACAAAAAGCTGTTCCGAGCTTCAAAGAACTTCCCATCTAAGTATAAAACAAGAGCCAACAGGTGAAGCAAGACAGACAGACGAGGGGAACACAAGAAAACAAGACAGATGAATAAGGGAGTTCATTTCTTTACCCTATACACAGCCAGCCAGAGACGAATATGTGCTCATATGCAGTGGTCTTCACCCAGAGATCCCAAAGCACTTTATACAGGAGGGTAAATAACATTCTCCCCATTTCACAGATGAGGAAACTGAGGCACAGAGAGGTGAAGTGACTTGCCCAGAGTCAGCGGCACGTCTGCAATGGAAACCCAGACTCCTGACACTCTCCCCTAGATGATGCTCCCTTAGCGAGCTACAAACATTTTGGCAGCTACATACAGCGTGTTTTTACAATAGTAACATATCAAAAGTTTGGCTGGCCATTCTCTCCTCGCCAGATACCCATTTGCTGCAGGTTCATAGACCAGTAACAGATCAGAGCTGCCCCTGTATGCCCAAGTCTTAGCCTGGGACCCAGAACTCCTGGAGGCAGAAGCCAGAACGGTTCTAACTGCTACTCAGTTCACAACAGTCACAAACGTTTCGGACTTTTCACCAGATTTTAAGAGGAAATGATTTCTCCCGCCTCCAAGCAGCTCATCTGAGACTTAAAATCATTTATCAGAATAGAGCAATATATTGGGATCCAGAAAGCGGCGCCTGAAACGCATGCCTGAATAGCTAAGTTTATACAAGCAGTTACGCTTCAAAGGGCAAAGCTATACTACACTCCATATTGCTGCTTCTAAGACCCGAATCCCATTGCAATCTCCAGCAGTTCCTAGGACGACAAACAAACGACAGCCACAGGTCTAATGAATTTATAGCCCAAAGGCACAAAGTGGCTTGCTGCCATTAAATATTTTTGACAAAAGCAAGGTTATTTAGTGAGGGACGCTCACTGCACAGGCAGGCATTTTCCAAGCAGGAGATTAGCGGGCTCTGCCATGAAAGATGCACATCTCCCTTCCTTGCCACACTTACATCACCGGACTTCCAGAAATCTAGGACACAGACAGGCTTCCCTAAGATGTGGCAGCCAGGGTGAAATTCACCCCATGAGCAGAGAGACAGCCCAAGGTCTGTGATCCACTAAGGTCTTGTCCACACACAGAGTTATTCTGGAATAGCTACTGAGCTTTACATTCACACCCTTTCTTAATCTGAATTAACTTTCAAGTGCAGACAAGCCCTCATTACTTGCACGTAAGCCTTATGTCTTGCACAGCTGTAGTGCTGACCCTCTGCAGAGGAATGAACTTCACCCTGCATGAACAAAAAGCCTCTCTCTCTCTCTCTCTCTCTCTCTCTCTCTCTCTCTACGTACGT